TTGACTTATAATTAAAATTAAAAAAGAGTACTTGTCAGTCACTTTTTAACAATAAATTAACAGTCTTATATATCGGTCACTTCATGCAGAAAAATAAAGTATTAATTGGATTACTCTAAAATCACCATTATTTTCTATTTTGTACAGTATCGTTATAATACTTTAACTACATTTTTTTAATTTAATAAGGTAGGTAAGTAGTGTCCAGTATTTAAGCTTGCCTTTTGCTTCCGCGGCTATGGTGGCAATAACGTTTCAATTGCGGTCAGATTTTTACCCCTCAAGCAGGTAGTTCACTTCGGTTGTCAGGGTTTTGGCCTTGTATGGGAGAACTCAACAATTGTTGTAGATTTTGCGCTGAATCCTGGTCATGTACTAATAGCCTGTTTGGTTCGATGTAATGCAAGGAGATTATTTGTAATCTTGATGCATTACATGATTTTAGCTGTTTGGTTGGTACTAAATAATGTAAAAGAAATTATATCATGTAAAGGAAATTACATTATACACTGTAAAGAGGATTACATCAATAAACTTATGGAATCCTCATTACAATCACATTTTATATCAAAATATCCTTCCTTATATAACATACCAAACAAACACATATAATCCTTATTACATTACATTTCATTCCTTAGCATTACATTGTATTACATTCCCTTTGATTCTTTGAACCAAACGGGCTATAAGAAATTGTTGCTCACTCTGTGGATCCCGGGAAATTTTCACCATGTGCTCTTCCAATTGGGTTTTGAAGCCCCATCTCCACTGGTTCTTATTGCTCCTTGATCATCTTAATTTGTGATCGATGTATAAATGGGAACTTGACCTGCTTTCTTCTTGTTTTATTTTTGCCTTTCTCTTTTGTTCTCTGCTTTGGGTTTTGCTGTTTCTTTTTGTGACAAAAAACCATAGAGTCTAGTCTCCTAATCAACACACACGTACGTCGTGAAATGTGTAAATATCGGTCTCCTTGAGACGTGCGAGGTACTTGTGATTGTCTGTTATGTATACGACTGTATGTAGTTAACAGGATAGAAATGATAAGCTAATAATACCACAGCGCAGGACGGAAGATATATACAAGACGGTATGTATTGTTACGTTCCTTCAAACAGTGAAACTTGTCGTCATGATCGTCCACGATAAAAATAGTGGTAGGAGAGACAGTTCTCGATTCATCAAAGCTAAGCAAGGGGACACATCACGAAGCGATAGTATTTTCCATGAACTAGGTACATGTAAAGTACGCACTATGCAGAGCTCAGAGGTATTGCTTGTTCGCACTCAATTATGCCAAGCTACAATGCTCATTCATAATCCTTACTTCCTTCATTGTTATCGTTATTTTCTTTCTTCCTCGTCAAGTCACAGTTTTTTTAGCATCTCTCTTCATTTTCATCCATTGTACAGGCTACTGCCTCCATTATCACTTGCACTGTTCCTGATAGTAACAAATGCCTGAATAACTACTCGAGATGTGGAAACTAAATTGCACAAAAATGATCCATTGATTTGGTTTGAGCCCTGTACGTGCCCTCGGAAAATTTAAAATTGATGATAATGGAAAGAGAAAACACAGCTCAAAGACAAGCGCAATATTGTTCAAACGGTTCCGCAATAATGTAAATAAGCTTGCTTAATATTTCAAAAAATTTTAACTAACTAGATTGCAGGATCGAGTTCTTATGAGGAGTCGGGGGGCTGGTAAATTTTATATCACGTGCAAGCGCAAGCGCGCACATATCTGTATCTGGATATTTGTGTTTTCAGGTTCTCTTTATTGTCTATTGCCAGGCAAAAAAGTTGTTTTTATTGGAAACTTTAGGCCGTGCTTGGTTCAAGAAATTAAAAGGGAAGAGCATGGAGAGGAGTTAATGTTTTTAATGTTGTTGATTTTCTTAAGGGAGAGAAGATAAGGGGGGTTTTACTTTTAATAATTCATTATTTAGTTTAGGAGAGGAAAAAATAGTAACTAATTTAGAAAAATTTAATTATTTAATTCCTGTAATTCTGACTCAATTATAACTTAATTTTTTTAAGTTTTGACTTGTTATAACTCAGTTTTAAAATTTGGACTCTTGCAATTCAATTCTTATATTTTTAATTATTTAAATATTAATTTTTATATTTTAAAAAATAAATTATAATGATTAAAATTTATTACTAATATTTTAAATTAATAAAATATTTTAATCTTTATAAATATTAAATGATTGAAATTACGGGGATTGAGTCGTAAGATACAAAATTCAGAAATTAAGTTATAAAGTTAAAAATATAAGAATTGAATTACAATATATTAAAATTTAGAGGTTAAGTTACAATTGAATTAAAATTATACGGATTAAATTATTAATATTTTTACCAATTTACCATCATATCCTTGCTTACTCTAATTTTTTAAAATTGTTTATCGTGTGAGGTAATTTTACTCCTTAATTCACATTGTATAATAAAAAAAATTACTCTCATCCTAACATGGTTAAATTGTATGACAGCAGCAATTTTTTGACTCCCTTAAATATATAATAAAATTTGAGGCATTTTGATTATATCATAAAGTTCCTTTTTTTTATCTATTAAACTTGTATATAGTTTATCCTGTATTTTTTTCTCGTTGCCTTCACGCCAAGCCCATAGAAAAACTATTTTTTATAAATTTAAATGAATTGAACCCAAAAAAAGAGGGGAGGAAAACCAAAACCTCAAAAGTAATACTCTCTCCATTTAAAAATATAAGATATTTTTTAAGAAATTATATGTCAAAAAATATAAGGCATTTTTAATATTTTGAGATGTAATTATTGTTTTTTTTAAAACTTAATAAATTTATATTTATTGTAGGATGTTTAATAAGAGTAAATATGAAAAAAAGATTACCCATGACCCATCAAAGACTTAAAATCCTTCAAACCAAGTGAGACGTAGTTGGGTTACTGTGAAAATGGTCAGGAAAAAAAAAGAGCATATTTCAATGACGGAAGGGAAAGGAAAAATTTTGGCTCCCAACTCTTCCAAGTTTCTCGGCTACATGGGGAGGGAAGCCAAATTTTCCTCATAAAATGTGTTTTTGAATGGCGAAGGGTACATTAGTCTGCAACAAAAAAAAAAGTGTATATTAACCTATAATCCTAAATTCATTTGTTGCCCGTTTTCAAAAACAGAGGAAGTATCCTTTTGGTAGCTAGATGCTCTTATTGTGTGTAACCACTAAAAAAAATGTTATTTCTGAGACAATTTTTTTTTTTGGCTTTAGAGGCATTTTAAAATGTCTCTAAAAATATTTCCTGCGTTACAGCAAAAAATTGCAAATGCTCTCACCGGAGGCGTTTGTACAGAAACGTCCTTAGAGAGGGCATTTTTTTATTGGAACGCCCTCATATGAAGACGTTTTCGTACAAACACCTCTCGATGGGACGTTTAGATCCGAAAACATCTTTAATGTACAATCTTTTGAAGCGTTTTTTACAAATGCCTTTAAAATCATAAAATGTAACTTTTTTGTATAGTGAACAAAACATCACTTGGCATTGAAAAGAAGCGCTGCGTTCATGTGAACAACGCAACCCTGCCACGGTCTGGTGGACCAGGGAATGCTTGTTTATTAAGCAAGAAAAAATTCGAACCGCATGTCTCATTTAATTGAAAAAAAAATCTTTTGCAGACGAGATGAGAAGGTTTTTCGGATTGCTGCCAGGAGAATTTTTTTTTCCCCAAAAATTAGATTACAACTTGTATACGTTTTAGAAAAGTAGTGGGAAATATAATTACTAGTACCTATAATTTTGACATATTTAGATATTAGTTCTTATATTTTTTTCTCATTGCTTTAAGTCCCCCTAATTTATCATGCATAGAGCCGGGCAAATGGGCTCAACCTAATGGGCTAGCCCATTAGCTCGCCATTTTTTACGATTTGGGTTGACAAAAGGAGCCCGTTTTTTAAAACGGATTGGGTTAGCCCAAACCATAAAATTAGTCGGACTACCGGGCTAACCCGCCAACCCGCGGTCTAGCCCGCCAATTTTTTTTACTCAATTACTATAGTGCCAGACTGCCAGTAGCCCAGTACACATGCACACCGCACACGGCCAATTCACACACAGTCCAGAGTCCACTCCACAGAGGTCCATCCATTATCAAGACTCAAGAGTTGCAACTTTCAAGGTCCAGTCCAGAATCAAGAATTCTAGATCCAGTCATCCAGTCCATAGTCCAATATTGCGAGGCTGTGAAGTATGAGGCTGTGAGGTCTAGACGTCCAGTACTCGGTACTCCAGTGACCACTGACCAGTGTTGCCTCTGTCTAGGTCTAGCCAGCACTGCTACAAACTCACAAAACGCAAAATCTGAACCCCCTCAAGCTCGATGGATGAGAAGGAAATCTAAAAGTCTGAAACAAACCCGATAGAACCCTTCCCTAGGCTAGGACGCTTACACAGACTCGCAAATGTAGTCGGCAGTCGTGGCTTCTTCTGAAATCTGAAGTCTGAACTCATTCTCTTGATTCCCTACTCAAGGCTCAAGCTAAACTCTTTGATTCGGTCTCTTTTCTCATTCTCTAGTCTGTTCGAGCTTAACACCTCAAGAAGATCGTAAATCCTTCTTCTGAACTCATTCTCTCGATCATTAAGACGGCAATCACTCTTCTCACTCTTCGTTTTGTGCTCAGCTCCCCATTGCTCTTCTTCTAACTTCACATCTCGGCTCAAGTGCTCAGCTCGCCATCGCTCTTTAAGTCTTCACCTTTGCCCCTACTCAGCTTGCCGTCTCTCCTAAGTGGTGCTTCCTCCTTAACTCAGTGTCTCAGTCTCTGGTTCTCAGCTTCTCACTGACTCTATCTCTGCTCAGCTTCTTCCGTTTCTCACACTGAGGTATTGTCTATAACTTTACTTCGGCAGCTCTACTTATTTTTGTACCTTGGTTGGATTGAACCGTAACACTTAGAGCATGGATGGTGGTTTTTGATTTTTGATTTATATTTGTTAGATAAAATGTCTACTGCCTGTCGACGGATTGATTTTGATGAGTTAGACTTAGAAGGGTCTGAAACTGATGATGAGTTAGAGCTAGAAAATACAAGTATTGCTAATGTTATTGCTTCCAATATTGATGATCAAGAAAGAGATGAATGCGGTGGTATTCATGAGAAAAACAAGAAAAAAAGAAAGATAAAAAGAGAGAGATCTATTATTTGAAAGTCTTTTACTAAGGTGCATGTTAATGGGATACCAAAAGCAAAATGTAATGGTTGTGGAATGTTATACAAGATAGGTAGTAAATCACATGGGACTTCTACTCTCCACCGTCATGCTCAAACTTGTCAACCCCTCACAAAATATCATGATGTTGGTGTAATGATGTTAAATCAAGAAGGAAAGCTTGTTTATAGGAAAATTGATCTTAGAGTTTTAAGAGAAAGCTTTCTATGGCTATTGTTGAGCATGATCTTCCTTATTCTTATGTTGAATACAAATGGATAAGGAAAATACACTAATATCTAAATCCTGATGCTACCCCTTTTTCTAGAAAAACTGCAGTGTCAGATGTTAGAAAACTATATGTTACTCAAAAAAAAATTAAAGCAAATGATGCTAAAGAGTCCTCGTAGAATATGCTTAACGTTTGATTGTTGGATTGCAATAACTTCACAGGGATATATATGCTTAACTGCTCATTTTGTTGATGACAAGTAGAGACTTAATAGCAAAATACTCTCTTTCTGTAAGATGGAGCCACCACACTCTGGAGTAGAATTGGCAAGAAAGGTGCATGAATGCTTGATAGAGTGGGGAATTGATAAAAAAGTGTTTTCTATTACATTAGATAATGCTTCAACAAATGACAATATGCAAGAAATATTGAGGGAGAGATTGAGTTGGCAAAATAGGTTGGTATGCAATGGAGAATTTTTTCATCTAAGATGTTGTGCCCATATTTTAAATTTAATAGTTCAAGAGGGTTTAAAGGTGGCAAGTTCTGCATTGCAGAAGATCAGGGAGAGTATTAAATATATTAAACAATCAAAGATGAGAACGATTACTTTTAAGAGGTGCATTGAGCAAGTTGGGGGTGTTGACACATCAGTAGGCTTAAGAACAGATTGTCCCACTAGATGGAATTCAACATATGCAATGCTTAAAAGTGCGATTAAATATCGTCGTGCTTTTAATAGCTTTTCCATAACTGACAAAATTATGAGTTCAACCCTTCGACTGAAGAATGGAGGAGAGCAGACGAGATATGTACTTTGTTGGAGCCTTTTGATGTGATTACCAATTTAATTTTGGGGACATCTTATCCAACCTCAAACATTTATTTCATGCAAATAGCAAGAATTGAAATCTTGTTGAATGAACACATGATGAGTGATGACTCTGTACTTCAAGAAATGGCAAGCAAAATGAAAGATAAATTTCACAAGTATTGGAGCGATTATAGCATGATTCTTGCACTTGGGACTGTTCTTGACCCACGAATGAAGTTTGAGGTGATTGAACATTATTATCCTTTGATTGATCCTATACATGGCCATGCAAAGATTGAAACTATCAAGTACAAGTTGATTTACATATTTGATCAATATAAAGAAATGAGTGGTACATCATCATCTCCAACTACTCAATCATCTTTAGGGCCAGGGACATCATCAAATCATCAATCATTTGTGGGTTCACATAACATAGTGGAGAAAGGGAGGGATGAGAAAAAGGCATTATTTCAAGTTTATGGTGTAAGTCTTTAAATTTTATAAATTTATTCTTGAAACTTTATTTTAATTGGCAATTTATTTCAATATTGTGTTGAACAATTTATTAGCAATTTTAATTTTATCTCAAGCTTATGTTGATCAATTTTATATGTTTATTCTTGACATTTCATTTGAATTTGATACAGGATTTTCTTAGAGTGAAGATCCGTGATGCTTCTTCCATTACAAAGTCTGAGTTAGATTATTATTTGAAAGAAGCAACTCTTGATCTTAATGCATTCATAGAAATGAATGTCTTGGATTATTGGAAGAATAATCAACATAGATTTTCAATTCTTTCAAAAATTGCATGTGATGTCTTGAGTATTCCGATCACTACAGTAGCTAGTGAATCGGCCTTCAATATTGGTTCACGCATTCTTACAAAGTACGGGTCTTCCCTTCTTCCAGAGAATGTTCAAGCTCTTGTTTGCACAAGGAATTGGTTGTTTGGATGGAATTATGATGGTAAATTGTTCCAAAATGATATATTTTATTAATGTCAACTTCTATTAACATACTCAATTTGTAAATTGTAATATATGTTGATTTATGTTTATGGTAGGTGAAGGTTCTGATGATGAGGATGATGATGAAGCTAAGTTAATTATGTTAGATGAAGATAATCATGCAATAGAACAAGCTTCTAATGTCATCAATTTAACATGAGTTATCTTGAGTATTGGGTGTATTTATGTTCATTTGAAACTTGAAAGTTGGACTTAGAATCTTATATTATTAATTGTTGTTTGATTTTAGTAGATTTTGGAGTTTGGACTCAAGTAATGTTAATTATTGAACAATTTAAATTAGGATGACTATATTTAAAATTTTATATTCTTGTTAATTGTATTGTAAAAAAATTTAAGTTATTAAAAAAATAATTTTCATGTGTTTAAACGGGCTAGCCCGCGGGTTGGCTAGCCCATTATGAAATGGGTTGGGCTAGGTTTTCCAGCCCGTTTTAATTGGCGGGCTAGCCCAACTCAGCCCGCAAAAACACCAGCCCGTGCGGGCTAGCCCGCAGCCCATTTGCCTAATGTTAATCGTGCATGCTACACTAGTGTCTCTAATTTTGATTATATTTTAAAGAACGATGAGATAACATTAACAATATTTAATTTATATTGAGTGAAATTATGATCCAATATATTATCAGCATTGGTTGTCGGGTTTTGTTGCATGTTTAAGGTTTTAATCCGTTGAAGCATAAGGCCATTGCCATCTAAACATAACAATTAACAGCGTAAGTTACGTGTTATCATATTTAATATTATTATTGTCATTCTATCATTCTTTTTAGACATATTAAAATATAGATATTAATATTGGGGTAATCTAGAAAAACTTATATCAGGACATGTTAAAACTTTATGATAAATGATTATATTTTTTTTAAAATGTAAATACAGGAATCGAATGCTATGTGATAGACGGAAATTAGATTTTCCACATTCTTGATTCAGATTTCTATTTCAAGTAAGCTTCGTTGAATTTAGAATAAAAAATATTTAACAAAGACGGACAAGACTGTTTCTTTCTTTTTTTTGGCCTTTTGAAATAAACGGAAAAGATAAAAGCAAGGGGCGGTTAAGCTCGTTGAATTTCCTACACGCTTTTGGCAGATTTGATAGGCTTGTTGCATCAATCAATTAGCGCACACGAGCAAATCCAAACATATATTTATTTCATCATAACCATCCAATCCCACGCAAGGAACATCGCGACATTGTCAAATAGCATTCCCCAAATGATGGTTTTCAGAGACACACATGTATCTACCATTTATTTAAATTATCTCTTAGTTTATTTTAAATATTATGTTTATTAATATGAAAATGATAAAAAAATTATTCTTAAATTTGGATTATCTTTTGTATTTATCAGAAAATGAGCACCATAATATCCAACACCTCCACGAGATCTAAATCTTTTAAACTTAATTTTATTATTATTATTTTATATTTATTAGAATAAAAGTTTATAAAAATTTAAAATTTTAATAAATCCATTCATTACCAATTTGATAAGTGAAGATTTAATTTAAATGATGAAATTTCATATTAAAATTTTTTACAATGTTACAATTTAATTATACAGACATGCACTAGGCAATTTAGATATAATTTAAATATTTTAATTTAATATTAAAAAATTTAAAAAATTTTAAATTGACTATTGAAATATGTTTTAAATAGTTCATATTTAATATTAAATTTTTTATAATTTTTATATTAGTAAATACGATATTTAATAATATTTTAAATGAATGATAGAAATTATCTCAAAATAAATTAAAAGGCTCCGCTTGAACATCTTTTGATGAGCACGCGGTGAATGCGGAGACTAGGTGCTAATAGATGATGTATCTTCAACCCCATAGGCTTTTGATTCCCTGCAGGATTGCCATAACTTCAACTTTTGCTACCAGTCGTTGGCCCATTTTCTTCTGGACGATTGGTGATCGCTTGCGAGGGAAACTGATGCAAAATCAGAGCCTATGCGGAATTCAGAAGTTGAAATTTACAATTTATAAACTCCCACCTTCAAATATTCTTCTTACAAATTCTTTATTTGTCACTCTCCCGTGATCTAATCTATTCCGTAAAACTAAATTTCATATCTTCTTGGTGCTAGCACAATCATACATGCAAAAAATACTATTTGTTAATTAATAATTTTTTATAATGTAATGAATTAATGTTTAAATTTTTATTAAGAAATATACACATACTTAATATCCAGCCATACCCCGAATCAAGATCACCTGCAGTATCAAACCACTTATGAAGCATGAACAAATTTTATTTAATGTTTCAAATTTTAAAAAGTCAATATTACCTATCTCATACAGATCAATCAAATTAGAGCCGAGAATATGTGCCCAATCTGTCAGGGTGGCCCGTTTAAACTCGTTTAATTGGAAGGCCGAGCTTGCAATTAGGACCTTTCAATGTAATTTGGGCTGAAACAGGTTGGCTCGCATAACTTTTTTTTTTCATATTCAAAAGTTTTTTTTATCCAAATGATTAACTTTTGATAGACACTTGGACTTGAAAAATGTTTAAGCATTATCTATTTATACACGTTAGCCCATATTTGCAAGGAAGAAAAAACATTAAAAAATAACAACTAACCTTAAATCTCCTAACTTAATTCTCCAAACTACATGTCATCAATTCTGCCCCTCTATGATTTATCTCTTGTTTTATGTGAGTTGTGTTTGTTTCTCATCATTCTTCTTCATTGATAGCTTATCTCAAATCCTAACAATGCTCCTCTATCTACGACCATGCTTCACTGTGCTCTTTCGTCTGTGATAGTGCTTCACTAAGTTCAAAGACTTAAATGATAGCATCTCTCAAGTCTTTCTCTTGCTTGAATAGAACCATAAACTGATTTGCTTTTCCTTGTTCTTTCATTATTCTCATTTTGCTCTTTAATCAAACTTGTGTCTATGGTTTATTTGATTTGATTATTCTGATGCTATCACTTTGTTTGTATTTATGATTTATTTAATTGTTTTATTTTAATTGTTGTTATTTTATTTATTGATATGGTTGTACGCTTGATTTATACATTTGTATGAGATTTTTGAGTTATAAAATAAAATGAAGTATTACTATTTAATTTGATAAAAATTTAATAAAAAATAAAAAAATAATAGGGCTTGAAGCTCGTAAGGTCGACCCTAAGTCTACTGTCTCAAGAGTCGGGCCTTACAATTTGATACTTAAAATAAAAAAAAGCTTTTTAAGTCAAGCCCGTCAAGGATTGACATGTTTTTTCAACTCTAAATGAAATTAGTATGGCTAATTAAATTTGCAACAGAACATAATTTTCTTAAAATCATCCCTCAGTGATTAATAGTTGATATTTCTTCTTACGAATCTCAACTTTGACTCTCACGCGCTTTATCTAAAGGAGGGTAATCTCATAAAAAAATCGCGTAATACTGGAGAAATCTCTTATATTTTGGATCACAAAAATACTCCAATAGATTTTGCCCTATGGTTTTTTCACCTGAAAAACCTCACATTAAATTCGAAAAGATACCAGCATTTCATAGTTTTCTTTGAATACGGGGGCATACTAATAAAATTGTGCAAGGAGAACAAAATGTCTATCGAAATGATCCCTTGGAGCACCTCATGGTTTTGACAAACAGCTTGAAACGAAAATGCAGGTTCGTATGTGAAGACCATCTCGAGGGGGGAAACGTGGAAAAGCGCAATTTCTGATTCAAGGGCATCAAGTACGAACACAGAAATGAACAGGACGGGAGTGAGTTGCTGGGCAAAAAGTGAAAATAAATAAGACGGGCTTGCATTGCATAAACGCATTCATAGCAGCCCTCACTACCTCCTACTTGCTCCTCCAACCCCATCCATCAAACTCTGCCCACACTGCGAGAGTGAGGTTCAGAAGAAATTGCCTTGAGACACAACCAAACGCTTTTCTTTACCTTTACGCTTCTCTCTCCTCTTCTTCTGGTCCTTCCTTGTCCCTCCCTCTCTCTTCCCATAATTCTCCCCTCCTCTCTTTTTTCTCATTTCTCATTCACCCTTACCACTCTACGCCTCTTACCAATGCACTCTCTGTGAGTGAATTGGAAGCAGGGGGAAAAACAGAGCTCTCTGTATTTTTGCTGCTTCTTTGGATAAATTCTTGCCCTCCTTTCTTGTCTTCTTTGGAATTCCTCTCACATGGGATCTTACAAAGAACAAGAACAAGAACAAGCTAAATGTGCTTGGGTTCATGGGCCTGTCATCATTGGCGCTGGACCCTCTGGTTTAGCAGTCGCTGCTTGTCTCTCTCAACAAGGAGTGCCTTGTGTTATCCTTGAGAAGAGTGACTGTATAGCTTCTCTATGGAAACACAGAACCTATGAGCGTCTCAAACTTCACCTTCCCAAACACTTCTGTGAGCTTCCCTTGATGGGCTTCCCTCCCAATTTCCCCAAGTACCCGACAAAATACCAGTTCGTTTCATATCTCGAGTCCTATGCTTCCCATTTCTCAATTCAACCCCGGTTCAATCAAACCGTCACGAGTGCAGAGTTCGACCAAAGTTGCGGCTTTTGGACGGTTCGAACCCAAGATTTTGAATACATTTCCCGGTGGCTTGTGTGGCCACTGGAGAAAATGCAGAGCCGATGATACCAAAAATTGCAGGAATGGAGCATTTTCAGGGGCCCATTGTTCACACTAGTCTATTCAAGTCTGGTTCTGATTACAAGAACCAGAGGGTTTTGGTCATTGGGTGTGGCAATTCGGGCATGGAAGCAAGCTTGGATCTTTGCAGGCACAATGCATTCCCTTTTATGGTCGCTAGAAACACCGTGAGTACTGATGATTGAAGTTGATAATATTTTCCTTTTTAAGTAACCAAATGCCAAATTTAGAAACGTGCCCTGTTTGGCTCACTGTTGCATATTTTCGTGATACAGATACATGTTCTGCCTAGGGAGATGTTTGGGTTCTCAACATTTGGAATAGCCATGACCCTTCTTAAATGGTTTCCTTTAAGATTAGTAGACAAGGTCCTCCTGACGCTGACCAGTTTCATCCTGGGAAACACCGATCGTTATGGTCTCCGGCGACCCAAAACAGGGCCCATTGAGCTCAAAAACGCCACCGGAAAAACCCCTGTTCTGGATGTTGGAGCACTATCACAGATAAAATCCGGGAAAATTAAGGTAAATTCAATCGACAAATCTCTCGTGCTCACTCCCACAAGTAGACTTGACATATCTCCAGGTTTTACTAAAATCGCCCATGTTTCACTTTCAGGTGATGCAAGAAGTGAAGGAGATAACGAGAAATAGTGTCAAGTTCGTGGATGGTCAAGAGAGAGAGTTCGATGCTATAATCTTAGCAACGGGTTACAGAAGCAACGTGCCTTCTTGGCTCAAGGTAAAACCACGAATCTTTCTATTTCATTTGCGTTTTTATTTATCTCTTGTCTTTTTCACGAAACGCCCAAAGACCTATCGCTTTCTAGAGTCGGACACATGCAGAGTGTAGAATCTTACAAATTTCTTCTTTTTCAACATGCAAAAAAGAAAATAATCAGTTCGGGTTATTCACACTACAATTTTCCAAATACAGACGTTAAACATCTGTTCTTTAATCTCTGACGTTTCACCAACGAAGGGTGACAATCATTAAAATACGAAACATGTCGATTTGCCGTTGCCGTTGCCCTTTTATTTTCAAAAACCAATATTTGGCTTGATTTTTTTTTTTTGGGTATGATCGGTCGGTTTAAAGCTCCGTATCAGGGTATGGAGCTATTATGCTCTGAAAAATCTTGTCTGGTTCTGCATGCTGTCAGTAAAACTAAAATCCAAAGCTGAGAACGTAAGCATCAACTGTACTGTACTACATATCATATGTTCTGTATTACGTAACTCTGGGATTTAAGAGTGAAGGACGTAATCAAAGAATAATATATTTGCAAAACCTTACGTTACATTGAAATCGGTAAATGCTTGTAGGGCTGTGATTTTTTCACTGAAGATGGAATGCCGAAAAGGCCCTTTCCGGAGGGCTGGAAGGGGGAGAATGGATTGTATACAGTCGGGTTCACCAGAAGAGGCCTGCTCGGAACTGCTTCTGATGCCACCAAAATCGCCCAGGACATCGCTCATCGGTGGAGGACCGTCAAGGACAGCAAGGACTATCGTAATTCCCAGATTCCTGCTCAAGAGCTCGTGATGCCAGTCAGTTTTTAAAATCCAAGGAGATGTTTAATTTAACAGATAAAACACGGGGTCAGGGTCAGATTGGTAATTGCATTATCTTTTAAGTTTTAACCTCCCCCACTCGCCACTGGCTTTCAGTGTATGTACAATTTTGTAACATTGCGGTATACATCTGCTAACCTTCCTCCAAGTCTTACCGTCCTTTGTAAAAAACATTGTCATAAATACAATCCCCCTTGTTTATACTTGTTCAACATACGTATAACGTGTTCATGTTAATTATTTGAGGTGAGTTCTAATCACCTCGAAGGAGCCTTGCAATTCTCTGCCTATGGGGAGTGTGTTTTATATGCTATAACGTTGTACAATTCACATAGGAGTATTAAATCTGTCCAGGTTATATAAACCAGTTATTTAAAAACAAGCCACGATGCTCGTCATGCAGTTGCATATGATTCCCTAGATTGAAGGCAGCGAACGATGAGTGTCAATACACATAAAACTTGGGCACCTCGGTGGCTTTGTGCTCTCTCTCTCTCTCTCTCTCTCTCTCTCTCGCTGATAATTGAGACAATGATGTGGTCTGATATGACCCCATTTGACAGCTCTGCTGCTTTCACTGTTTCACACGAGTCCCTGCGTCTCTTCTGATCAGCATATCTTGGTAGCGTATCTCTATTTAGTTGTTAAATATTGAAGGCAATCTTCTTCCTGGCTTTGCTTTAATGTGCTTGACGACGATGGTAGCTCTGCCGCCATATATAAAACAATGTCATGAAAGGATAGGAAGTGAAACGGAGAGAAGTCCAACGAGAGAGTTAAGTACTAAAACAAGTCCCACATTTACACATGTTGACGCATGCCATGGAAGATGCATTCAATTTTGTAAACCCCATCGCACGCTTCCATGCGCGCCCTTTCATTGTTTCTTACGTCAAGTCAAACAGTACCCCTCTGCCACCTCATTAGTACAAACTCAGTATCCTGACATGGATAGAGAGAGAACTTGACGCCAACCCAATTGCAATATAGTACTGCACTACTATATACTCCATTTCTACCAATTTCCTCTGTATGAACGTGATAAAAATACAAAAAATAAAAGTTTTTAAAATTTTAAATATATTAAACCATTGTTTATTTTTTTATTTTACCTTTCTCACTTTTTTAAAGTCGTTTGTAATTTTTAAACTGAAACAAAATAATTTTGTCAATTAATAACTTATAAAATAAATTATATTATAATTTTAAAAGATATTTAATAAAAATTGTTATACTCTTTTATTCTATTTATAAATTACTTAATATATATAAAAATGAATTGTCAATCACTTTCTCTTCATCCTATCCTTTCGCAATTTTTAATGAGTAGAGTGTAAAAAATTAGATTTGGATTGGACACGGTAGGCACTACATATCTATATTATTTGAGTTGATAAAATTAATATCAATGATGTAGATAATTATTGATTCGTTAATTCGGATGGAATATAAATTTAAAATTATTAATTTAAATTTAACTATGCATAATACAGACACTCAATACACTTACTAAATACAATCAATGAATTCAAATTTAAAATTACATGAGAAAAAGTATTTTTAAAAATATACATTTAACAAAAATAAATAAAAAATTGTTTTTTTTTAAATAACATCAATAATTTAATTACCTTTTTTTAATTTTAATAAAGTAATTTATAGGTAGAATTGAAAGGGTATATCCTAATAAATTTCCATGCTCTTTGTTTCCTTCCAACACTCCGGTGTTCATCACTGGCCAATTCAAAGAAGTCTAAAAAATTTTAGAACTATATTTAAGAGTTGAGAAGAAAGTTTTTATTTTAAGTTGATTCAAGCGACACAAATAAATACGGAAAAAATCATGACCAAGCCCTAATTCAAGCAAGTTTAGCCTGAACATTCAAATTTCTTTTTTATCATTTATAAAATAATATAAAATAAGACAAAAATTTAAAAAATTATTTTTTAAAAATAAAAGTTGAAATTACAAAAAAAATATTTAACAACTTGGATACGAGTAGCCTGAAAGCTCAAAGAGTTATATCAGACTTGATAATATAAACTTTTTAATATGTTAGGACATTCGAAGCCGTTCATACAAAACTGACCCAACAAGTTGGTCGCCCAAATTTCAGTTTTGCACGCAGCAGTTGTGGGTGGGGATCTCGTGCGCACAGGACTTGGTGGACTGGCATGTGATGTGGGTCAAAATCGTTGCAGAGATCGATGCACGAGGAGGGAAAGGAGAGTATAGATTGGCATGACATGGCAGGCATACGTACTCATCAACAAACCAAATATTGATACTGATGAGGTATCAGAACAATGCACGCCCATGCAAACCTCCCCTTCCTCCTTCAGGACCATATATACGACACGCGCTTCATGCCCTCTTTTGACTTTTCCCCTGTTTCTATTTTCATTCAAATCCGCATAGGCTTTTTGCCATCTTGTATGCCAGTGGGTGATGAGGCGATGATGATGCTATATACACATATGCGTTAATCTATGGCCGCGCAGAGAATTTCATCGTTGGGCCCCACTTAACCCCAGTGCCTTGTTGCTTTTCAAACAGCTGGGCTTAAGCTGACACCATCAGGAGGAGGGTCTCTGTGTAAGTCCATCCTCGGGATATAATCGCATTTGCCTTGCTTTGTATTTCTTCGCTGCCTTTCTTTCTCCATGGGCCTACAGTTCGACCCAGCCCAAACACTGCATGGTCCAGGCCATTCCTGCTTCTCGTATTTATATTCTGTGTTGATCTCGGTATTGAAGTTGGTGTCTCCTTGTAACAAATGTTAATTGTGATCGTGGTATCTTGCGCGAGGTATTTTTTCCCCCAGCTGACCAAAGTGATTTGAAGTAATGTTTATTTATTATAAAATAAATATTAATATCAGAATTAACAGATCACAGTGGGCTGATCGGTTGTGATGCGATTACGCAATCCATTCAAACTCGGCAAAAGACAAGGTACGAGAGCGGTCTTCAGTGTCTCAGAGTCCAGACATTCCCCAGCAGTCGTCTGCCTTGGGGACCTTCGATGAGGCAACGATGAATCCAAGCACATATCGTCATAGGCTCCACGTGATGCCTTACTGATATGAATTAGTCTGGCATTAATTAAGCTTCCGTTTCACTCCATAAATTTTGCAGTTTTTTAAGATAAATCTCAGAAGCCAGAAATAAACATGCTACTCTCATGTTCTCCTATGAAAACATTTTTATCTATTATTTCTTAATAAGCGGCAATGTTTTGTTGCAGGAATCGATGTTTACATGTATCTATAATACGAAATTAGTGATCTAATCCCTCATGTCAGATTTATTTGCCTCGAAGGATATGTGATTATCTATCCCAGGCATAGTTGCGTGGGGTTTATCCGTAATTTTTTTAAACTAAATAGACTAAATTAACTCCGATGGGGAGTGAAATTACTGAATCCCCCCGTACAAGTTTTACATGTGTCTGACAAGCTGAATGCCTGCAGACGGTGGAATGGCAGGTCATCGGCCAGGGTCTGAGGGATTTTCAATTTTGGTCTTTTGGACCTCAGGTAGTCAAGTCCAATGAGGTTATTTTAGGCGTTCAGGAGAGGAGGAAGCCATTGTTCGTAAATTAGACAAAAACGGAGGTATGAGTTCGTAATTACCAATTAATTGATTCATTTCATTATTCTATTAAAAAACTCAATTTATGTCATTATGGTATCTGCAACAGCAATACCACCCCTAAAAGCCGTCAAAAAAAGGTCTCAGCTTGCTTGCAAATTGCACCAAGCTAAAGTTAAATAAACAAGAATAAGCTTGACAAAGCAAGCAATTCATTTTCTGGTTTGTAAAGGTATTCCCACCTATCTTTCCCCGTCATTTTCCTCGTTTTATAATATTGATGAAGATTAATGATTAACGATGATATAGTATGAAACAACCAGAACTCTTTATTCTCCGTTTTTGCTAAAACCTGCCGAGTCGCTTCTATTCATCCGTTGGATTCCCCCCCCCCCTCCAATCTCTTCTCCCATTCTTTTGTGTTCTGCCTCCCTTTGTATCTAAAGTGTCTTTGTTTTCGCATGTTTCTCTTTGCCGTGGCATCAAAGATTAAAAGCTCTTCAGTACCGAGTCCCATATTGCTGATAGCAGAGCAAGCTGTTTCTGGCCTGGGTATTTCTGAAGTTTGTCCTCAGCAGGATCAGGTCGTGGTTTGGTCTCAACAAGATGTCTCAGACTAACTGGGAAGCTGATAAGATGTAAGATTTCCCTTTTATTTTTCAATGTTCATCCATTTTAGTTGGGACTGTATGGCACATCAACATGTTTGTTCACCCTCAAATGAGCGTCTCCTCTTTGTTCTCTTTCTGTATCGATTTCTTCTCTGGATTTTTGGGCTCCAATGTTTCTGGGCATCTTATTCAAGCTCTGTTCTGTATACCCCTTGTTTGTATGTGTGTTGTATCTTATTAATGGCTGCGAGAATGTATTTTGCTTTATCTTAGGGTTCACACTTCAACAGTTTAAGGGGTTTACGTTCAAATGAATTATCACCGGGCTCATCGGGGTCAATTTATGGCGTACTTACATTTCTGACGCTGGAAAGATTCAATCTTTCTCTCTCCAATTAAAGATACGACTTGTTACCGTGCTTTGAAATTTCAGGTTAGACGTTTACATACACGATTACTTAGTAAAGAGGGATTTGAAGGCTACTGCTAAAGCTTTTCAAGCTGAAGGAAAAGTATCATCCGATCCTGTCGGTGAGTTACATGGAAATAGAACTCTAGCCAGAAAAAGGCCCGGCTTGGATGTGGTCTTTTCTTTTTTATTTTTTAGTTTATGTGTAGTAGCATTGCATCAATTTCTTTTCCCTTAATATTAAAATGGGTTTGCAGCTATTGATGCTCCAGGAGGTTTTCTCTTCGAGTGGTGGTCTGTTTTTTGGGATATATTTATCGCTCGGACTAATGAGAAGCACTCAGAGGTTGCTGCATCTTATATCGAGGTTTTTTTGGAAATATTTTATGATGTTCTCATTAATATCTTTCTTGAGGTTATATTTCTTTAGCATGCCGGTGCTTGTATATTGACGGAGAAGATATGGAATTTTGATTGGTTCATTTCATATTTTGGAGTTAAATGCAAGGATACATTTCCATGTATTCCATAGGGAACTTAATTTTTCACATGAATTACAGCT